TCTCTCTCTCTCTCTCACACACACACACACACACACACACACACACGATGCGCAAAACTCCGCATTTGAACAGTCAATAGCAAATACTTAAACTAAAAACAAAACATACTTACAGTTGCTGATTCAGAAGCGCCAGATTGTCATAGTAAAGTCAGAATTACCTCCTCTCCTAGTTTCACGAAACGGTCGTCCATAAAATGCTTTGCTGTTCTGTTGTAAGTAATCTTAAAGATTCCTAAATGCATCTACTTTCGGAAGGCCAAATAAAGTGCTTTTGCTTTCGCCTAGAAACACACAGCGTCTCCCTGACATGGCTGCTTCAACACTAACTGCGGTTACTGAAACCACACCTTCTTTCTTTGCGTGAACATTTGGGCGGCATTACGCAAATATTTCCACATAGTGACGTAGATATGTGGGGGCGTGTTAGAACGAGCCGTTTTAGGGGGGCATGGCAGTCTTATCTTTGATAAAGAATATCTCTTTGGTTTTGAGACTTTAGTCTTTGCAACTTCAGGGATCTTATCTATGCACAATCAGCTTGTAACACTCCAAAGAGAAAGGAAAACTTGAAATCGCATCATATGACCCCTTTAAAGAAATAATTTCATATTTCCATAGTAATAATAATAACAAAATTAATAAAATAAATTATTAAAGGTATAGTTCACCCACCCAAAAATGACAATTGTGTCATAATTTACTCACCTGCATGGTCTAAAAGAGTATATGTAATAAATTTGATCAAACAAAATATTTTACTTTTTGTAATGTCTTTTTGATGCTTTACACAACAATGACTTTAAATTATCTTTTGGGAGTAATTTCTCAGCCAAATTTAACGTGCGATTAATTTGGGATTAATTAGATTAATTAATCGCCACATCATGTAATTAATTAGATTAAAAAATGTAATCGCTTACCAGCCCTAGTTCACATATGTAAATATAGTCAAGCAATATCATCAAAAATACTTATATTTATTATCGATATGATGCAAAATATAAACTGATGCACAAAATAAAATATTTAAGAAAATGCTATCTATGCTGTAAATAAATGCTCTGCTCATATGAAACCAGAACACAACAGAAATGTTTCCACAACAGAAAAAATACAGAATACAAATTTATAAATAAATATAAATATTTTAAACAATAGGCTAAAAATGATAAATTATGAAAATTATGTTTTATGATGTACGGAAAGCACTTCTCTTTCTCCCATACAGACGCACACACAAACAGTACTACGGACACACACCCGCTGCTTTTATCAGTAAAATAGTTTAGCAACTTAAAAAGCTACATGGCATTTCACACTAGCAGGGTAATAACGGCGCTGTTCTTTAAGCAGCTGAACTTAAGAGTTTCTCTAATAAGAGTTGTTGCTCTTATTATCTCACAGTGCATTGTTATCTTAGTCTTGTTAAAAAGTATTAGGTAGGGATGCACCGATAGGATTTTTTTGGGCCGATGCCGATACCGATATTTATCGCTTCCTCTCTTATTTGAAATTTTGGCATCAAAATAGATAGTATTTTGATCATGTTTTAAATCAGCAAAGTTCAAAAACACCTACATTAAATTATACTAGCAGTTTTATTGCTGCATCATCAAATAATTTCTAATGAACATGGATTGGATCCATTTAACATTCAGCAGGCCTACATAAATACAACAGAACAAAGATACATATTAAATAAACAGTGCTTTTTAGGTAGGTTTAACAGTTTTCAGGTACAGAAATAAAGTAAACAAATGTAAAATAACACTTCACTGTATAAATTAAATACATATTAATCCTTCTTTATTGTAACAGACTTTATTATGATTAATCATCTAATTTGTTTTTGTATACATTTTAATATTTGTTTTGTAAGTTTAAATATGTATGACATCTCCTTTACTAGGGCAGGACTCTTATTTTGACGGGTTTTCTAGTCTACAGAGCTATATGGGTAATGAAAGCACGCAGTTCTTCGGATTTAAAGTTTGTCAGTATCCCCCGAAAAGGCATGAGATCTGTATATATTTGTTTACTGTTAGTTGTAATAAGTGTTTTGTGTAATTCGCTGTATGTTGATGATAATGCAACTGAGAGAGAGAGTTTAATGTGCACTTCTCGTGCTGTGTTTTGTTTAGCTCTTATGGTGATTTTTTGGAGTGAAAAAGGACGCAATAAACTTAATAAAACATCAGTAAAGTTTTGGTCATCATTCAGATGAGGTCCGCTACACTTATGAAAGTTACAAAAGTTATTTAGTCAAGAATAGTGTGCGATCTTTTGTTATTTGATTAGCATTAAAGTGCAGACATCAGCGCTAGGATTATGCTACAGACATTATACAGCTCAGTGCCTTCACACAGTTAATTAATAAACCATCGGTTTGTTATATCGGCCTTTTTCCTTATATAGCCGATATGCCGATGGTTGTAAATTGAGGGAAAATCGGCAGATAAATATCGTCGGCCGATACATCCATAGTATTAGGGAAACATATTCCACTATTATCAAAAGTAATCCTGACAGAATTAAATAAGGAAACTAGTAGTGAACTGACCTCATCTGTGGGGTCATAGTACTGTTCCAGGTACGGGTGAGCCAGCGCCTCCTCCACCTCAATCCTCTTATGAGGGTTAAATGTCAACATCTTATCCAACAGGTCCAATGCTACAAGAAAACAGAGACAAACCAGTTCATTAAAAACAAACCAGGAAAAAATGACAAAGTACAGATCTGCTAAGCCTTCATTGGTTATGACCAGAAATTCAAACATATTTTGTAAAATTAGTCCGATTACATGTGACACATATGAGGACTAGTTTCTTTGTGTGTGCAGTGAGGGTGTGGAGTTGAACTCTGACCTTTAGGGTCTGCATTAGGAAACAGGCGGTTCCAGGGCACTTTGCAGCGGAGAGGAAGTGACAGCAGGTAATTTCTTGCCTTTATGTTGATAATGCAGTTGAGATCCTCCTGAGAGGGGGAGCCCAAAATACCTACAGGAGAGAGAGAAGACAAATATAAGGATTAAATGATGAAAATATAGATCAGGAGAACAAGAGAATAAATGGAAAACAAATGTGCTTGGTTTTGTTGCATCATTATTTCTTTGTTCTTTTAAAATAATATTTAAATATTTAATAAGTAAAGTAGTTTGATATATAAAGAAAAGCAGTTTGATATATAAAGAAAAGTAGTTTGATATATAAAGAAGTCACATATGCTCACTAAGGCTGCATTTATATTATCAAAATACTATTTATTACAATATATTAATATAAATATGATTATAGTCTAAAATAACTGTTTTCTATTAGAACATATTTTAAAATGTAATTTATTCCTGCGATGGCAAAGCTGAATTTTCAGCATCATTACTCCAGTCTTCAGTGTCACATGATCCTTCAGAAATCATTCTAATATGCTGATTCGCTGCTCAAGAAACATTTCTTATGATCAGTGTTGAAAACAGTTGTACTACTACTTAATATTTTTGTGGAAACAGTGATATTTTTGCCATTTTGCTAGAATTTTGAGACAGAGACTTCAAATTTTTTCGTGGATAATTTTGAGACAACATTTCCACAATTTTTTACCATACTATTCTGCTCATGTTTACATAATTATTCAAAAGCTGTGATGAACGCCAGTGTGAAGTACAGTAGGAAAAACAGCCTATTTAATTTGAAATTACAAAACAATTGCTAAAGCTGTAGAATATGGCACATTCAATAACCCAAGTAGAAAACACCATTTTTTTTTATTTTTTTTTTGGTTCTGTGGACACCGGGTTGAAATTATATATCAATATGCCTTTAAAATAATAATGATAATTATTATTTTCATTACTATTTTATTATTATTATATTATTTTTTATTATTAATTATTATATTTCATTAAATGTTTTTTTGCAAGTGGTGCAACTACGAGCAATACCAAATCAGTTAACATTCCTATTCATCTCAATGCAGTTCTAGAAGTATGCGTCTTGAAATCTTGAAGTTTTGAAGTCTTTTTTTATAGGAACCACAGAGCTTTTTCACATGAGCTGTAAATGTCATATGACTAATCACACTATACTTACAGGAAAACGACATCATGACAACTATGACTGGCTGTTGGCACCATAAACCCAAACCCTTCACTAGCGGCTATAAGCTGTGAATTCAAAGGCTGCAGGCGGGGAAATATATAAAGTCCACAAGGTGGTTTACCTAAGATGTGGTTAAGCTGGTCCAGATAGTGTTTCCCAGGGAAGATGGGTCTATTCGAAAGCATCTCAGCCAGAATGCAACCGACCGACCATATATCAATGGACTTAGTGTAACCCTGAGAGACAGACACAGACATAAAGAGATTGTTAACTGATATAGCTATCAACATTTACGGCAAAAAAATGTTTTTATCATGTTTGGTTTTTTTTGGTTTTGTAATTTTCTGTGTGGTACGTATCATAGTAATACCATGGCAATCTTAGATGTAGCATGGTAAATGATGGCAAATGATGACAATTTACATTTATATGTAAACTATTTCTGTAAGAACAAAAAAGTATGTTTTGAAATTAAGGGTTATTTATTATCTAAATAAAGCTAACTAAAAACTAAAGCTAACTAAAAATAAAACTTAAAAACATTTTTGTTAATTGAAATAATGTTGAAATAAAATATATTATAAATATTAGATGAAAAACTTGAACTAAATGAAAATTAGTAATGTTGCCTTGGAAAATAACTCAAATAAGTGCAAGTTCAAGCAATAAAATTACTAACTGGAAGTAAATTAAAACTGAACTAAAAAAATGAAATCAAAAAATAAATTAAATCTAAATAGTAATATTTAAAAATAATAATAAAGATGATAAAAACACAAAAAATGCAATGACCAACACCAAACTGCTTACTGAAGGTGGCATAGAGTAACCAAACAAACACTTGAGACAATAATGAAATAACTCAACTCCAGGTTTAGACTTAATCTGTTTTTGAATGACCAGTCCAACAATCTTTGAAAGATCAAGACTGATTCCTCACCTTGGAATTGAGCATAATCTCTGGTGCGCGGTACCAACGCGTGGCTACATACTCCGTCAGGAAGCCAGTGTGGTCATGGTCTGGATCAGCCACCCGGGCGAGCCCAAAATCACAGATCTGTGGGAGAAAAAAAACAGAAAAAAAAACAGAAGTTACAGAGATTTGTGAGTATTCAGCAATGTCCAAGATGAGCCTGACATTACTTTGCATTAATAAAGCGTGGTATGGTGTGGTGGCAATGGAGTTAAAAAGTGATGGCTGTAAAAATACAAGGACTATGCCTGCAACAGCAGAACAGTTGCTAAATTAAAAATAATTTGAAGAGAAAAATGATAAATTTATAAACTAAATTTTAAATAATTTAAAGAAAAAATACAAGTATCTTATAAAATTTTTGTTTCATTTAATTTCATAAAAAAAAATGATGTACATCAGTTAAACTTTATTTTAACTATTATTATAGTTAACAAACTAAAACCATAAAAAACATTTTCATTACTTGAAATAAAACATTTATCTGAAATAAAATATAAAAAGATTTCAGCTAGTTTCCAAGGCAACATTTCTCATTTTCATTTAAAGTTGATGTACTAAACTAACTAAAATAAAAATTAAATAAAAATGAACTATATAGACATTTAAAAACAACAAAAACTAATAAAAATGACAAACACATGAACATGAAAGCAAAAAATTAAAAAATCTAATTCAAAATATTAACAACTATAATAGTATCTCAATGATACTAAAATAACACCGATTTACATTTTATTTCTAATTATTTCTTATTCTCTGCGCTCGGTTTGGCTGATGAGCTGAACGAGCTGTTTCGTAAAATGTAATAACTTTATATTTATAACACTTAAAGAAAATAATACATTAGGAAAATGGAAGTTATGTGCTTTTTTGTAAAACCAACAGGTGCAGCATTCTGAAAACATCGTTTTTTTTCCCCCCAGTTCCATTTGGTGACACAGAAATGACACACATCACCTTTAAATGAGTTTAAAATTACATAATGGCAAGGAACCGCAGTGTACTTCACCTTGAGGTCGCAAGTAGTGTTGAGCAACAGGTTAGATGGCTTCAGGTCTCTGTGGAGAACGTTTGCTGAGTGGATGTACTTCAGGCCACGCAAGATCTGGTACAGGAAGTAACAGATGTGGTCATTGCTCAAGTGCTGCGTCTTCAACAGCTTGTACAAGTCTGTCTCCATCAGATCCTGTACAATGTAGCTATAGTTTTTCAACGTCAAGGTCAAACACAAAGCTTGGAGAACAGAAAAGAGAAATGGGTGCATTTAAGGACTGACAAAAGCTTGTTGAAGTTCATGCAATCTTTAAATGTTTAGAATATGCAGCCATACTTTCATTCAGCAAGGATGCATGATTAAATTGATCAAAATTGACAGCAAAGTTATTTATAATGTTACAAAATATTATTTCAAATAAATGCTGTTCTTTTGAACTTCCTATTTATTAAATAATAATAGTAATCATAAATAAAAATAGATTTAAAAAAAGCATCAGTGTCTTCAATATTGATAATAATAGGACATTTTTCTTGACCAGCAAATCAGTATATTAGTATGATTTCTGAAGGATCATGTGACACTGAAGACTGGAGTAATGATGCTGAAAATTCAGCTTTGCATCACAGGAATAAATTACATTTTACAATGCATTAAAATAAAAAAAAACAATTTTAAATTGCTATAATATTTCACGGTATTAATGTTTTTACTATATTTTTGAGCAAATAAATACAGCCTTGATGAGCATAAAAGACTTATTTCAAAAACATTTTAAAAATCTTACCGACCCACAGCTTTTGAACAGTAGTGTATATACACACACATATATATATATATATATATATATATATATATACACACACATACATACAAACAAGCAATCGTAAGTAACAAATCTTTGTTTTGTTAGGTTGTGACAAAAGTAAATAAATAAATAAATACCAGCAACAAAAAAGTACAAGCCCATTGCTATGTCCTGAATTAATTTCAGTAGAAAGAAAACTGTGGCATTTAAGATCTTGTGTTTCTACTCCCTTCAACCGCAGCTCTGTTATGACGCTAAACATATTAGAGTAACAGAGCGATTAGATCATACAAAACTACTCTCACTATCCACACGCCTACTGACTATCGATTTCAGACCTAAAATTAACTCTTTACTAGAGATTTTTGCATTGTCTCAGCCTACACAGTTGGAAAAGAGCATTGTTTGTGCCAGAGGCTGCATTTTCAGCCTGAACATGAATATTTAGAAAGCTGAACTGAAAAATTGAATGAATTCTAATTTAAATAAGTCTTAATATTTGGTTTGTCTCTTTTTTGCTTTAATGATGGCAGCATTTGAAATGACAAACATAAAATCTGATCATGTTCTCCAGCATGAAAAAAAAGCATCTTTAGCTTCAATGGAAGAACATCTGATCCACATGATCAATGTCACTAATGTACTTACCTAAAATAATAGTACAGAATTACAAATACATCTTTAAAAGTCTTATCTTTTCTTTGTTTCAAATGTTTCAAAATCCTACATTTATTTCCAGGTTAAAATACAATTAAAAAGGATACACGTCTTTCATCTGGTCGATGGTTGGGGTGCGGTTGATGTCGTTGATGCCGATGATGTTCTCATGCTTGAAGCGGAGCAGGATTTTAATCTCACGGAGTGTGCGCTGACAGTACGTCTGGTGCTCAAATGGACTGATTTTCTTTATCGCCACACGCACTTTATTATCACGATCATACGCCGAGCTGAAACAAAGAGACAGCAAAAAACATCATCAGATCAAACATCTTTTTTCTTGGTTACAAAACCGTGTCGTGTAGCTTAGTCATTATTAAGTGACACAAAGATATCAAGTACACAATATAAGAAGTGTAATACAATGGAAAAGACGATGTGAACGCAGATGGGCCTTTCAATTATGGGCACTTTTCTGTGGACTGTTAGAAAAGCTGCTTTAAAACACTTCTAAAATAGAAATAGAAATTATGGAAAGACTGACATTCAGGCTGAGACTAGAAGTAGAGACTTTTGAAAGGCACTGGAGAAAATGGACTATAAGTGTAGAAGTCAAAACAGAGGGAAGAGCAAGATATATGCTTGTAAATGAGAGGAATATGTATATACACCTATGTAAGCATATACAAATCTGTTTACATTTATACATGTGTATGTACGTATGGGGCTGGATGTACACATAATGTAACCCTTTTTAAGTTGTTTTTTCCCCCTAAAATTTAGAAAGAATACCTATGATTGTACCCATGAAGCTGAACTGACTGTTTGTTTGTCTATGTTTTATAATGTTATATAAAAAATAAAGTAAAAAAATTTTTTTTCACAAAATGTAAACGTGGGAAAAGAGGGTGGTGGAAATTATGCTTGAAGGACTGATAATGATAAATCACTTTAAGCAAAAAATAAAAAAATAAGAATAGTTTCACTTTGTTTAGTTTTATCATAGATTTTATCTTTAAAAAAAAATTACAACTATATTTATGATGACTGAAAAACATCTAAGAAATAGCAAACAAAAAAAGCATGGTTTAAAAAAAAAGGGGGGAAAAGAAGACATTTTTTTTAAATTAATTAATAAATAAATCAACCAACCCCTCAAACGTAAAAAGGGCCTGTAATTGAGCAAACACCCAGATACAGTCTCTTTGTTTAAATTATCATAACTTAAAAAACAAAGTATGTAAAAAATATTTTATGATGTCAATATTTTAAGCATTTGAGACATTGCAAAAACAAACAGTTAAAACCATTTGCAAAGACAGTTTTAAAGTGACCTTCAAATAAAAAAGGAAAAAAAAAAAAGATACATACATACATACATACGTGTGTGTGTATATATACATGTATATAATAACAAAACTAAGTAAAAAAAAATAAATAAATAACTTTACTTTTATTAATTCACCTCTAACCTTCCGCTTAGTTTCTAAAGCTTGTCTGTACCACACTTCTTCACACATGATGTTCATGAATGCAAAGAACTTGACAGATACAATCTCATCTCACCGTAACCATGAGCTGAACTCTGCACTGCTGACACACTGTTAATGTTAAATCTGTGTCAGGTGCACCACTAATGCAGCATCTGCACCATTTTCTCTTGCACAGCAGAAACATGGTCATCAAGCAAGTTTTTTTCGTTTTGTTGATGCCAATTTCAATTTGTGTCATTTGACAAGAATAAAGCTTACAGATCAAGCAGCTGGCTGGCATTGTGCACAAAACACTCTAAAGGGCAGAAAGTGGAGAAATTACACAGAGGTGAAGAAAGATCATGAAAGAGAGAGAGAGAGAGAGAGAGGGGAGCAGAGATGAAGGGACATAGCAAAACAGCAGGAGAAAAGAGAAACAAGAGAGGCATGGTTTCCACGGACACGGACAGGCAAGACTTTGCAGTTAGGAGTTATGCAACAAGCTGTTGCCATGGTAATGTGAAGGAGGGGGGCGGCCACAGGCTGAACGCTGGTAGTGAATTTACACAATGCTCTGACAATGCCAGATACCCTTGGTGCGAAGGAGGAGAGAGAAAAAAAGACACTCCAATGGCATACTGTCATGTCACCAAATAACAAAGATGTCTATAAATAAAGCTGGGGCTGCATGAAAACTGAAGGGAATGACTGCTGCATGTGAACATCCTGAAGACTGAAAATCCACACAATAACAAGCACAGCAAACTCACTATTTTAGTGTTACTTACATCTGCAAAGTGTAGCTGAAGGTCTGTGAAACACAACTGGATAAGAGAGCAAAGCAAAACCACTCAAACAAGACCGAATCTGAATTTAAGACAATTTAATACTTTTTATTTAAAGGGTTAGTTCACCCAAAAATTAAAATTAGCCTGTGTTTAACTCACCCTTGAAGCATCCTAGGTGTATATGACTTTCTTCTTTCAGACGAATCCAGTCGGAGTTATATTAAAAATTGTCCTGGCTATTCCAAGCTCTATCGTTGCAGTCAGCGGGTGTTGCAGTTGAACAGTCCACAAGTCGTCAAATAAAGCTCGCGTATTCATAATAAAATGTGCCTCACACAGCTCCGGGGGGTGAATAAAGGCCTCCTGTAGTTAATGCATGCGTTTTTGTAAGAAAAATATCTATATTTCAAACGTAATAAACACTTTTCTCTCACTTCCGGTATCTGTCATATGCGGAAGCCGTTCCGGCGGATGACGCAGCACGTATGCGCAGCGCACGCGCCTCTGAGATATGCTAGTCTCGTGAGTTTGTTTATAGGAGCAAAGGAAGCAAAGTTTTCTTACCTTAGCAAAACCAGTCTCCTCTTGGTTTATATCGAAATCCTCCGACATTTTTCTATATAAATCGGTTTGTACTTCTAATTCGTGACTGGCGTTTTGTTTTGTTCTCTCTCCGCATTTGTCACTAATCACGCAACAACGACGTCCTACGTCATCCACCGGAACGGCTTCCGCGTATGACAGAAACCGGAAACCGAAAGTGTTTATTACATTTGAAATATGGATATTTTTCTTACAAAAACACATAATTTTTGGGTGAACAAACCCTTTAAGACATTTTAAGACTTTTTAAGGACCCGCGGCCACCCTGTATTAAAACGCATAAATACTTAATAATTTAATGCTGATTTTTATTACAGTAATGAGTTTATTTGCATTACATTAATGAGAACTGCGGCGCAATGTGCTTAATTTCATTTCAAAATAAACTGAAAAAAAAAAGAACATAATAAAAATAAATTATTTAATAATTAACTCTT